AGTATATGCTTATTTACATAAAGTAACCAGTAATTGATTTCCTATCTTGAGTATCTCCCCCCCCCCAAATTTGCATCTACATACAAACATAAGTCTGCCTTTTCCAAATCACCCTTTTTGTATATCAATTTTAAATTTAAGGTGTTTTTCAAGTACCTAAGAATTCTCTTTACAGCACACCAGTAGGATGCTCCTGCAGTTGGCTTAAGCAATTTACTGCAAATAAAATATCTGGCCTTGTAATATATGCCAAGTACAGGAAAGATCCAATTAATTCTTTGTATGGGCCATGAAATGCATTTCCTTTCTGAAAATCAGCTGCTGTAGATTTTGGTTCAATGGGAGTTTGGGCTGTTTTACAATCAGACATTTTAAATTTATCAAGTAATTTTTCAATATATGGTTTCTGATCTAAATATAAACAACCAGACTCAAACTTCAGTCTAATGCATAGACTCCAACCTTCAGCAAACCTTGTTAGTAGTCAACGCGCGAACGACATTTTTACAACTTTGAAAATGTGCGCGTAGCGTATGTTGTAATTAACTATTCATTAATTTTAAATTAATAATTAATTGTAATCAATTTTATTACATTTAAAATCCATATACATATAAAACTGAATAATTAAAAATATACCTTGTAAATTATATGCACATTTAATTAGAAATTTTCTTTTAACTCCTCAAGCATTCACTAATAAAAAGTACTTCAAATCACTACTAATCATAGAAAAAATCAGAAGCTATAAATCATATCTTTATTCTGGATATGATTTCTACAGGGAAATAAAATTTAAATAACCAAGAATGATGCATACAAGTATTAAACAAAATACGCATAATTTATGAATGCAAAGATTTATATGTAGCATGCTTAGCAAGCTTAAGTTCTGATTTTGAGAATGTTTTTTTATAACACAGTTCTTCATTTGCCTGCATATTTATTTTTTCAATCAAAACTGCTTCAAGAGTTTTAAGACCTAAATTTGGTCGAAATTCCGTCTGATTTTTTTTAACAATAGAAAAAATTCTTTCGCAAGCTGCATTTGAATGAGGTATTATTAAGACAGCAAGCATTACAGAAGGCAATACTTTGTATTTAATACACCCATTCATATTTTTTAATTTGGCAATTTCTCCCCATGCTATATCAATACGCAAATCTACAATTTCTTTCAAATCATCTACTTGATACATGGAAAATTCAATTTCTACTTGATTAAGACATTTTTCATCAATAACGGATGGAAAAGTATTCATCAAGTAAAGAACAGATGAAAATGAGACTTCAGTTCTCAAGTTGATGTCAGCAACTTCAGCATGTTTTAGAAATGGATCACTCAGTGGAAATTTATCAATTATATATGAACATGCAGTTACAAAAAAAGCTCGCACAGAATTGAAAAATGATTTCACTTCACTTTCATTCAACTTGGCATTTTTTAAATATAGTCTTGTTTCCGCACCAATCACTAAATTTTCATTTTCTTTTTGTTTACTATACTTCTGAAATGGAATAGACGTTAGAGTAACATCTCTTCATTTTCTTTAGAAATTACTGATGGTTTTACGAATCTAACAAATAAATTCATTAAAAGTTCAAAAAGTTCTCTTCTCAATTTATGTATATAAGGAGCTTGTTGTTGCAAATTAATATTTACTGTTATAAACAAAGGCAAAGTATTTTTCAAAAATAACAAGTACAATTTGGTGGTCGGTGACTGTAAAATTTTTTTAATGTTTTGCAATCTCTTTCCTTCATTCTCACTGTTATCTGGTTTATCTCCAAAAAAATTTATCACAGTATTATCCCACTGTTCCAAAATCCTTGTTATAGATTCTAAAAGAGACAACCATCTCGTACTGCAATATTTCAAAATTTTATGAGATTTTGCATTCTGTCCCAAAATTTGTTGAGCAACTTTGAAGCTATGCTTCCGTTTCGAACTTTTCTCCAAGTAAAAATATATATCTATTATCAACATTTCAATTTCTGAGCCAATTAATTTTTCAGTAGCTTTTTTTGCAGCTATATGCAAGAGGTGGCACGGACAACCTCGGGTGATTATACTTGGTTGATGCATTTTGATAAATGATGCTACACCTTTAAACTTTCCAATCATATTACTAGCATTATCTGAAGAAAATGATAAGCAATTTTTTCCATTCTAAACCTTTGTTTTTAAAGTTTTCATTTATACAATTAAAAAATACCTTCTCCTGTATTATTCGTGCATTCTAAAATAGAAATCAATGAAGTAATTATCACTCCCTTTTCTTTACTGTAGTATGTTATAACCAATGGGTACAGTTTTGTTATCATTGTTATCATTACTTCCATCAGTACTTAGAGAAAATGATGTACTGCACACTGATTTTATAATATCAGCAACAGTATTTTCTGCAAGCGTTTTCACAATAGCAGCAGTTTTGGTATGACCGCAGCTAAATTTTTTTGCTATGGCAGAATCCGGAAACATTGCTTTGAAAAGCTCTTTGGAATGATCCGAAACAGAAAGCGGTAGATTATGTTCAATTAAAAAACGAACAAAATAGCATTCGGCTTTTATAGGATCTGTTTCATCATCATCTTTTATTAAGAAATTTGTTATTTCTTTAGATTTTACGGTGCCAAGTTCTATATGCTTTTGAGAAAACACATGCCGTTTACAGTCATCTTTTCCGCCATGAGCAACTGAGAAGTCTTTGTTGCATACACTGCAGTGTGCGTGATTCACAGAAATTTCGGACGCTTTAATGCATGGAAATTCTGAAGAATATGAATCTTTTAAACTTCTGCTTTGATAATTTTTTGCTTCTTCTTCGTTCGAGGCAGCATTATGATTAAAAATCTTTCACCTGATTCACAGTTCACAAGACACACGCTAAGCTCTCGCCGTAAACTAACACGAATGCAGCCTAAACACGCATCAGCGAGGAACCTGGGAGACAGACAATTGGGTGGAACTATTGATAAGTCGTTAACGGTTGGAGTTACTGATCTACGATTGGCTAATTCTTCAAAACTAGGAACGCACTCAACACGTGATATATGATAACACGAGTATTCAGCCAATCATCGGATGAATTAGTTGGTTCCGTTTTGCGTACTGGTTCTCCTGCTCTTGTTTCTGTAAAATCCGTAGTTTTTTCCATACTTTTCGTAGCTCGTAGTTTTTCATGAATTTTCGTAGAAACTACGGAGAATCCGTAGTAGTTGGAGTCTATGTCTAATGCCTAAAAATTCTGAGACACTTTCAGATTTTGACATTTGAAATTCTTTAGATAACAGTGATATTATAAAATTTGTTTCTTTTACATCCAAACCTGCAATTAATACGTCATCTACATAAAGAGCCATAATCACTTTCTTAAAATTTAGATTTCTGATAAAAATACATGGTTCAGAGTCCAATTGCTCAAAATCTAATTTAATAACTAAATTAAGAAATTTCTGATACCACTGTTGCGGAGACTGCTTAAGACCATATAAACTCTTTTTAAGTTTACATTTTTTACCACTCATATCATCATATCCTTTCAGCTGGTCCATGTAGATGGTTTCATCTAACTTACCGTTCAAGAAAGGTGTCTTGACATCTAAAGTAAAAGTTTGCAACCAAGATTAAATGTAAAGAGCACATTCTAATCACTGGAGAAAACGTGTCTGTATAGTCTATGCCTTCCTTTTGCATGAAGCCACGAGCAACAAGCAGTTCCATCTCATTTTTTACGTAGAATCCATTTGCAAAAAATAGCTCTTTTCATGAGTGGGTAAACTTTGTAGATCCCAGACATCGTTATCTTCTATAGATTTCATTTCCTCGTCCATAGCTCTTTTCCATAGTTCTTGTTCTACTTGTGGTAGATTTACAATATCTTCAAATGTCAGAGTGTCTTGTTGTGCAAACATTACTTGGTAAATCTCAGGATTAGGATACCTAACTGTCTGTTTCTTTTTTCTTGAAGATTTACTTTTTGTTCCTCCTTCTTATTTGCATTTAATTCGCTGTTATCAGTGTCTGAAATTGATTTGTCTTCATTTTTAATGTCATCATTGTCATTTTCACTCAAATCAGAACTATCGGAAATATATTTCTGATTTTCTACTTTCTTTTTTTCTTCATTAAATTTAACATTTCTGGAAACAATGATGCGTCTTGTTTCTGGAATCATTAAACGATATCCCATTGTGGAATAACCTACAAATATCATTCTGACAGATTTTTCATCTAGTTTCTTTCTTTGCGATGGTGGCACATGAGTATAAGCATCACAGCCAAATACATGCATGTTTGTCAAATCAGGATTTTCACCATACTTCAGAGAATAAGGAACATGATTATCAATTGAACTATTTGGGAGTCGATTATTTATAAAAGCAGCCGTAAGTACTGCTTCAGACCAAAGGAATTTTGGTAAATTTGCCTCAAATATCATTGCTCTAGCTTTTTCCAGTACAGTTCTATTTGTTCTTTCAGCAACACCATTTAGAAAAGGTGTATAGGGAGGTGCAGGATCTATTTTTACACCTTTTTTATCAATTTCATAAAGTTCTCCACTGGCATATTCTTTGGCATTGTCACAGCGCAGTTTTGTGGCAGTTGGATTCAATTTAAAGAATAGTTTAAGTTCATCAGCAATTTCACTTTTTCTTTTGAGCAGTCTTATTTCCATAAATCATGAGTAGTCATCAATTATAGTCATGAAATACGTTTCCCCATGGAGTGTTTGATGTTCTATTGGACCACATATATTACTGTGTATAGTTATAAGTTTGGATTCTTTTATGCGAGGACCCTTTCCTATAGAGCCAGCATTGGTCAATCGTAAGGCTGTACTTCTCCTCCACAACAATGTGAGGCTGCATGTGGCTCAGACTTTAAATATCATAGGAATTGTGGTAAGCTGGTTTAATGAAAAGATGATTTTGAAAAATGTATGTTGAAATTAGAGGTCACTAACCAAATAAAAAAATATTAGCATTCAGTAACTTACGTTGCATATATGGTATATGAATATGGAGGTGGTTCCCATCCTAAGAAAGGCACACTTGCTAGTTGAATATGAATATCATACACACCCTGCACAGAAAAATCAACAGATACATGTAATAAAGTTTAAACACTATATATATATATATATATATACACACATCTACAACAAAAAGGCTGAGAATCTCAGTTGTGCAGGGGTTAAGTGTAAATGAGTATTCAAGCGTTCTTTCAAAATTCAAATTTAATATCAAACAAAGAAAAATAATCATGAACCAATAAATTCATTTATTAAAGCAAGCAGTTTTAACCTTTAGAGAACAATATGAAATCAAATTAGTTTCAGGGATTTTTCAAATTTTCCCTAATATATGCAAATGGTCCACCCCTACTTTTTAAGATAAGACACTGTTACTTTATACTATTCATATTATGATGGCAAAGCAATAACACATAAAGATGTCATACAGTGAGCACAACCTCCATGCAGCTTGGAATGGAGGTAAGAAAAAAATACTATAATTTTCATTTTCATTGCTAAAAACTGAATTATCTAGCTTATTTACATTATTTTACATTAGTTTAAATTTTAAGAAATTGTAAAATATCTCAGATTTTACAATGATAATATCCCTGCAGTCCCTTTAGTTAGATAAACAGTTAATCTGAAAATTTTCTAAAATAAACAGTTTTTCTAAGATGAGATAAAAATAGTTTGAAAATGCTCTGCATGTTATAAGAAACATAAATCTCAAAACACATACATAAAGTATAATTAGCTGATACGTCAAGAATACTCTTGACCTATCAGTTAGCTCTAAAAACATATACGAAAAGTACTTCTAAAGAAATGTTGCTAAAGGCAATTTCAATTTTCAGTTAATCATGGAATTATAAACTTTTATGTTTTTAATAATAAATCATTTATTCTTAAAAGAAAAAGAACAGGGGGAGGGGCAAAGACGAGAGAAAGAGAATCTGCATTATTTGAAAAATTAATAGTGTACAGATATGCAAGAAAAAAAAAAAAAAAAAAAAAAAAGATGGAAGCATCTGGAGTCGCACCTTATTTCAATTTATAATGACCAAGAAATTGAAAGCCTGGCCGTCATTATGCTATGCCTCATAAATATGTATCCATCCAAGACACAGTTTAGTGCAATAATAAATCATTTATTCTTAAAAGAAAAAGAACAGGGGGAGGGGGCGAAGATGAGAGAAAGAGAATCTGCATTATTTGAAAAATTAATAGTGTACAGATATACAAGAAAAAAAAAAAAAAAAAAAAGATGGAAGCATCTGGAGTCACACCTTATTTCAATTTATTATGATCAAGAAAGTTGAAAGCCTGGTCGTCATTATGCTATGCCTCATAAATATGTGTCCATCCAAGACACAGTTTAGTGTAATATAGAAGAAATAATTAAATAATGGAACAATGGGATATTTCATTTTTTTAAAATGTATTCTGCTTACTTCCAACAACATATTAATCAACATTTCTGTCACCATGTCAGAGTCGCAAGAACTTGAATATAGTATCACACCGAAAACATTAAATCATAGTAAAAGTGTAGTGTTATGCAAGACTTACATAAAAGTGTAGTGTTTTCTCACACAAATCCATTATACTTGGTAAATAGAAGGAGTAAAGTAAGTAACGGAAGGAAAAACTATGCTTAGTAGAACTACTTTAATGAGTTTATCCTCCTCTACATTGTGTTATGCAGAAGTACTACTAACCTTCAAGTCCCCCTTAGGTAATAATGTCATACAGTGGCTAGTCAAAAGTACTGACATTTAGCAGATGGAAATGTACGAGGGCTATCCAGAAAGTAGATTACGTTTTGGAATAAAAAAATAAACAAAGTATAGGAAACAAATTTTATTATATACAGATGAAAGCCACACTCAAATACTACTTTTCTACATAGTCACCATACAAATTAAGGCATTTATCGTAGCGATGTACGAGCTTGGAAATTCCTTCGTCGAAAAATTCGGCCGCCTGCGCCTTCAACCACTTCGTTACCTCTTCTTGCTTTTCGCTGATGATTTCGTGCAACAAACTTCGCGAAATTTGTGGAAAACTCAAAGAAAGTTCCGTTATTGTGAAATTTCGATTTTCACGGACTTTAGCATCGACTTTTTCGAGAAGTTCGGTGGTCACTATGCTGGGTCTCCCACTTTGATCTTCGTCGTGAACATTGGTTCGGCCATTTTGAAATCTTATGACCCACTCCACCTTCAGTGATAATGTTGTCCCCATACACTTCACGAAGCTGCCGATAGATTTCTATCGGTTTACAGTTTTTTGCAGTCAGAAACCTTATTACTGAGCGCACCTCGCAGCTCGTGGGATTTTCAATTAACGCAGACATTTCAAACCGTCACAGTATCTGAACGGAGCACAGCACGAACCTCTCACTAGCACGGCTAGATGCAGACTGAGCTGCGCAACGCTCTGACCCCAAGATGGCCGCGCTAGCCCCGCCCCTAGTGGACACAGACGGAAACGTAATCTACTTCCTGGATGGCCCTCGTACATCAAACCTAATTCTACACAAAAAGTAAGGGGTATTTGAGAATATTTTGAATTTTATAAAAAAATGTCCAAAAGCTGAAGGTAATACTGATGTAGCAATGAGTAATGTTGTTTATAACAATATGTGAAGTAAGCAGAGACAATACAAATCAGGCATTAATGTTAGAGATAATCTTATCCTTACTAATGACCACATCTTCCCTAACAGTGTCTTTGATAGTGATGAACAAGACAACTGTTGTGTATAGCAATTTTTGAATAAGTCCCAAAGAAGTCAATTTTCTCATCTCATGCTGCTTTAGTGTTATTTATATCATCCTTTAATGACGGTACCATATACATAGCACACTTTTCAGACAGTACACATGGAAACTTGGTTAATTCTTAAAATTTCACATAAAAGAATAAGAATTATAGGTTCACAATTTTGCCTTTTTTATTATTGATTATTATAAGTTAGTAAATATATTAAACAGCCATTTTATATCTACATTAATTATAAGACACTGCATTTAAAAATAAAAATATCAACGAAAAATACAATAGATCATAATAATCAAGTTTAAATTATTCCAAATGTGAAAAATAATAAAACTTGAATCACACCTCATTGAATAAATCACCAATCCATTTGGCAGTCATAACAGCCATCATGAGAGGTAATCCAAAAGTTATATTGCCAATGGCTTCCATTAATATAACTGTCAAGCTAATGGTCATTCTAACAACTCCACCTAACATTGCTGCTGCTCCAACAATAGCAAATTTTGAATAGCAGAGACTATCCTAAAAAGAGAAATGCTTATTGAATAAACAGCAATAAAACACTTTTTAAAGCAATATCACTTCACCTCAATACTTATTATGAAAAGTTCTTACTGTAGAGAATCCAAAAAATGCTCCTATTTGTGCAATGCCAAGTCCAAAAAGTCTTCCCCAAGCAGCTCCAATCATTAATGTTGGAATGAAAAGTCCACTGGATATGCTTAAACCATATGTCCAACAACCAAGGAATAAATAAGCAAAGAAAAACAGACATAAAGTAGTAGCATGCCAGGTGCCTTAAAAAGAATTTCCATATCAATTGAAAATATACATTACAGATATTAACGAGTACAAAGAATTTTTCTTAAAATTATATCCCCCCGGAAAAAAAAAGTTTCATTCAATTATGAAATCACAAAACATATTCATAGTAATGCTCTTCCTTTCACGGACGTCTGGGCTATCATTTCAAAAGGACTATGCCTGGTCACATATGGCATGCCTTTCTACTGCATGCTTCTCCAACACTTTCTTGGTTGGTGCAATCACCAGATCTCTCCCCAGCAGAACACATTTGGGCTCGGATGAGCAGGCATGTCTGCCTATACTTGTATTATGCAGATCTAAGTTGCCAATTGGAACATATATGACAAGCAATCTCATAGGAGGACATCTGCCAAATCCAAGGTTCAATGACCAGCAGGATAACAACTTGCATCAGGGGCAAAGGTAGGATAACATTTTGGGCTCTTGTCATTATTCATTTTCCATACATGTACATCACACCTACTGATTTCCATCCCATTCCTTTAACTCTTTCTTGGTGAGCTGCTTGTATGTTATAGCATATCCTACCAATTTTCGTCTCATTCTTATAACTCTTTCTTGGTGAATTGCTTTTATGTTATAGTATGTATATCAAATATCAAACTAAACAACTCAAGTATTAAGTTTTTTGAAACCAAATATCAAACTCTGAAGGGGGATGCTCACTTAGGGGCAGAAATTTATACCACTACATCACTTAAGATAAATATTATTCCTACAGCATTTCAAAACACAACTGGAGAGGAAAGAATTGCACTGGATAGAAAAAAGTGTTGCATTATTAGTTACTTATAATAATGCTTAACCACACAATGAGGTGACTTCTAAACCATAACCAATTATTTTAGAACAATTACACTTGTAATAAAAAGAGGAAAGGAACAATTATGTTTCAAGAAACATTTATTTAAAAAAAAAAAAAAACATACAATTTTATATCAAGGGATTAATTTTTTTTTGGTACTTTCTGATCATCCACATCCCCATGAAAAGTACGACTACATCACCAAATCAGATTTCTTCTTTTCTTTTTTACATCCTATACACACACTCACGTACAAAAAAAAAAAAAAAAAAAAAAAAAAAAAAAAAAAACAGATACCTGGAGAATGAATTTAATCTGTAACACTCTTTAATATTTTTTAAAATTTATTTTCCTATTGTAATTTCATATATGTATCATTATGAAACAATTTTCAAGCAATAGATATAAAAAACTAATTACTAAAAATTCCTAAATAATTATTATAAATATATTAAACTTCTAAACTTGCCATAGATGGCAAATTTTCTAGCACAGTCTCCTTAAATCAATGATTTTACTTGGATACATTTATTCGAAAAAGGCATGTATCCAAGAGACATTTTTGATTTCCATACAGTTTTGATATTAAGTTGGTACTCATAAAATTTGTACTTTTCTAAATGAGAGCTTTATTTATTTAATTTTTTAATGTGACTTTTGTCTGCAAATATATTACAATTTCTTTAGGATATGTTCTAATAACATAACTTTCAATCAAAGAAATAAATTGTTTTTCTTTAAAATTTTATTTTTGCTTATACTTGAACATATCTTTTGAGTCAGCCAGAAGTTAAATTTACCATACATATCTAAAATTTCTTTTGGAATCTGTCAACTTTTTATGTGAGTAGTTTTTCAAGCATATACTTGACGCTGCCGGAAATTATGTAGTGCAGCTCTCATGTTGAAAACTGTAGAATATTAACTAGTATGCACTGCATAATTATCATTCTTCTTCACTCTATGTTTGGGAAATGATATCATTTTCTCCCTTTAATTTTATTGCTGCTGTAAATATTTATTTGTTAATGAAAAATATTTTACAATATATAAGGCCAAAATGAATTACTACTACTTCCACAACAGTTTTGTCTTTTTCTTAATAGCACTTTTGCATTTTAAAATGTACTAGTGGCTTTTTTTCAATCTAAATAATCTCTATAAGATCCAACCTAATTAAGACCAGCAATTATAGTTACAAGTACGGCTAAAGTAATGATTTCTAAGAGGAGGAAAAAAAAAAGGGTAAATTCATATAAGTATTTTATTTCAATATAATAAACTGATATTGCTAGATTTCTTAAAAATCTGAAAATCTGATTACTTAATTTTAATAAAGAAAAACTAACGATTTCAAAGCGATGACTAATCAACATATAATCACTAATTAACTGCGGAATATTCTAAGTCAGTGTTTCTCAACTGGATTTACTCCAAGGACCGGTAAACTATTTCGGTATGTTCTCGCAATAATTTACCAAATTAGAGGAAATAAAACCCAAAATCAATGAGATTGCTGCTGGTCTCTGTTGCTGTCTAAAGCACCAATCCTAGGCGTTAAAGCAGTTACAGCAAGAGCACGTCGATTTCGATGTTTCGTCTTAATAACAGTCATAGCCGAAAATGTAGTTTCACACAAAGGCAAAGTTGAGGGAAAAGGGAATAAAATCTTCAATGCCTTAGCATGAAGATTGGGGTATTCTGTTGCAGTCTTTATCTAGAACTGATATATATTTACTGAATTGAACTGTGATTTAAGTCCTAGATCTGAAGATAGTTGAACAAGTTCTGTTTCCTCAACTGTAGTAAGATTGTTATTGTAATTATCAATAAATAGACTCATTATCCACAGTTTACCTAAACACACATCTTCTGGGGGATAATACTGATCAGAAGCCATAGAAAGTTCATTTAAATGCTCCAAAATATGCTGGTAATGCTCTTTTGATCCATGTCATTAACATCAATGTAATCAAAGAAAGAAACAAACATATCAAAAGTGTTTTTTTCCGCACGTTTGTACCAGAGTTCCAATTTCTTCTTAAAAGCATCAATCTTATTGTAACGTAACATCAACCTGTATTTGTAAGTTGAAAACGGTATAATTTTTACCTCGAAGACTTAAATTTAGTTCATTTATCAGTGAAAATATGTCTGATAGGTATGAAAGCAAGGCTACCCATTCTTTGTTCTGAAAATTTCTGCTTAATAATGACCCCTTCTGATTTAAAAGCAATTGTACCTAATTTCTCAAACAACCGGTTAAAGACTTTTCCTCTGAATAGCCAGCGTATTTCGGCGTGCAACAATAATTGTACATGATTCGATCCCATTTCTTGACATAAAGTTGTAAACAATCTTGAATTAAGGGCTTACTTCTGATAAAATTTACAATTTTTACCGATTCCAGAAGAATGTCTTTCAGTTATAGGAGCAATTTCTTTGCTGCTGAATGCTCACGATGAATAATGCAGTGAGTGACTATTAATTCTTCTGATGCTATGTCTGTTATTCTCTTTGCAACACCTATATGTCTTCCAGTCATAGCAGCAGTGCCATCAGTACACAGACCGATGCCTTTTTTCCAGTCAATGGATTTACTTTCAATGTAATTCTTAACTGTCTTAAATATTTTAGTACTGGTTGTTTGGGATGGTAGTTCGATACAACATATCAATTCTCTAATATCATTGATTACAATGTCATATAACATTGTATATAGTCAATATAACAGACATAACATAATAATATGGCACTATTTGAGATGTCCATTGACTCCTCCATTTGGACATCAAACCATTTCGATTTACGAATATCTTGCAGTAGTTGACTTTGATAACTCACATATTCTTCGACGAATAGTATCATTGGACAGAGGAAGAGTTTTTATTTTATCTGCAGCAAATTGGCCCACCACTTCACAACACACCTCTTCTATTGACAAGTTCTTCAGCAACTAAGTATGCTTTCTTAGATTTGGCAATACACAGAGCAACTAAATACGATGCTTTTAAAAGCAATTTATCAACCGAGATACGTTTTTTATAAGCATCCTTTTGAATTTTCATCTCCAAACCTTTTCTCCGGAAAAGTCCAGCGATTTGCTTTCTAGTTGTGGGTGCTTCGTTTGTAAATGACGCAAAAGCTTGAAAGGTTTCATGCTTTTGGTGGAAAGAACATCTCTACAAATAACACATTCAGGTTTTGGACAATTTTCTTCTGATTGTGGCCAAAGGACAAAGCCATATTTCAAATAGTCTGCGATATAGTGCCTTTCTTTTTTTGGCAGATTGTGGACTACATTCACCTTCATCTGTATTCGAAGGGGCGGACGCGTACTTGGTTTTGGAGAATGCTTTCTTTGCATGAAATTTAGTAATGTGCCTTTAGTTTCTTCTTACTTATACTGGTTATTGATTTGTAATCTACCTAAAGTTACAGAAATAGTAGTTATAGCAGAGTATTAAATTCAGAAGTTATTAAAAACTTATGTTGATAGTTTTCAGCTGACCAAACGTGCAGAAGAATGTAAGCAAGATGAAAAGGGAAACCTAACCTAAGCCTTAAACACTATGATAGATATTCAGCATTCAAGTAATCAGCGATACTCAAGGCAGACGGGGGTACACTAACTGGTGTACTAAGTGTACAGCATGGCAATTTATGAAAGGCGATTAGGTACATAGTTGTCAGTTTGTTATATTTTTCATCATCGATCATATTATTTTCTAAACTTGTAATATCGGTTGTCGGCCAATGACACATACAATATTGGACAGATAGCTGGATATTTTGCGGACCGGCAAATATTTCTTGTGAACCAGCATTTGAGAAACACTGCTCTAAGTGACTTACTGTAACATAATTGTACAACACAGACTCTTTTGAGAGGAAAGGAATGTTATATAGTCATGTAAATGAGAAAAATATCAAAAACTGCAGATAGAGGAAATATAATTGCTTTCGTTTTGCATAATTTGGAAATAAAGATAATTCTTGAAGTAACTCTGATGAAGTAAGAATGATATCTAAAATAGAATATTTGTAACAAAAGACACCTCATCAAAATTTTGCAGAAGGAGCTGATCTTAGATATTTGAACTCACATGTATAAATTCATCAACTTTCATACATACAAATTCAAAATCCATTTACAAAACTGCTCACCAGTGGATAATTAGTAAAATGATTGAGCACTAAAGTATTTTCGAGCAGGGTTCATATCCTTGCCAGCAGACTGGCTGAGTTTAAGTTTTTTAATTTTTTCCTGTGTGTAATGTGACTAAGAAACACTTTTTCTTGAAACATGATTTATGAAAACAGTCCATTTAGACAGATAGCCCTCAAATAGTTTGCCATAATTTAAAAATGTACTCTAATCTAACTCATTACAAAAACAAAAGTGCAACATCTAATTCCTTATTTTTACATTTGTTCATACAAGAAAACTGTAATGGGACATTTATTGGATCATTTTTATGAATTAGTATCCCATTATAAATTCTTCATGTAACTAAAATTTCTAAAGGTCTAAGTATTAGTCTAAATATTAGATCTGGCAAAATATATTCAGGAATAACTAACACAGACAAAATATCTTGTAAAATACATTTCCAAGTAGAATATTTTTAAGAAATATTCCCAAGAAATACATTTCTGTTTATATATGTTTGGTAGATTTATATAAATTATTTAAATTTCAGTTGTAAGTGAGTGAGTTAGCAAATGTTATAATGATTTAACACTAAGTATTTAGCATGTGTTAGGAAAATACCTTTACTTTTAAGGAATTCTGTTAACATCTATTGAACACATGCTTATTATTATGCAACGCAAATTTAGAATTAACTGACTTACCCATACAGTGATATAGGAATAAGGTGTGCCTTAGGGGTGGATTATTGATTAAATTTAAACACACTTATTTTAACATGTTCGCTGCCTATCACACACTGACACATGGTGATGTCTTAAGTGACAGTCACATGCTGGTGCACACAGAGCAATGCCTTATTATTTATTCCCCAGTTAACTAGCATTACATTTTGTGTATGTATTCTGGTACTGGCAAGGAGTAAAGGTTAGAAAATAGTTGTAATATGTGGTTTTGAATTAAAGCAAATCTTTGTTTTGTGCGAAGATTATACAAGAATAACTCTCTGAAATATATAGTTTTTAATATTATTGTAACTACCTTGTAACAAATTCTTTTGTAATATACACATATATTTGTTTGTGACAAAGTTTCATCCTAAAATAATGCATATTGTTACTTAATTTTCTTATTTTAATACTATGCACCAACATGTAATGAGGAATTGGAAAAATAATTTTACCTCTAGTGCTAATCATGTGATGGCACAGTTATAAAATTCTCTAATTCTCTCTAAGCAATCATGTGATAAACATAATCAACATTTATCATATCTTTTTTTAAAATATATTTCTTATAATAAGTTAGTCAACATATGAGTACAACCTACTTCTATATCAGGGCGATAATTATCACCAAAACCTCACATGACCAGCAGTGAAAATGTTCAGTTAAAAAAAATATGGCATATAATTCAAAATAGAAATATGTTATGCCAACTTTTTTTTAGCCATTGATTATTAAGAATGATACTTCTAATTTAAAAACGTTTAGAAACCATATTTCATTTTTAATTATGCCTAGATATTCTATATATCCTTCTAGAATGAAATTTTCAGTGAGAAATATGCTATTTGATAGCAAAATATTCCAAACACATTTTACAATGAAGAAGTTTTAACAAAAAAGCTTATTCTTAACAAAAACAAGAGGTCAATTTTTCATACATAGCCATGATGCTATCGTTTTTATCTGCGAGAAAATGGTGAAAATTTTAGCATTCAGCAATATATCGACCAGAACAAAATTTTATTTATCTTGAATGTTTTCTTCAACACAAAATGGCTTTTAATCTAAAGTGAAGATTGTTACTCTGCCCTCCCCCAAAAGGGAGGTCATATAGAATAAATATTTTAGTTTACAAAACTAGTTGAAAATAAAAGATGTCCAAAATTAAATAAATATGGAAGGATATTGGATTATATTTTGAAAAAAAAAATAATGTGCTTAAAAATTAGCAATCCAATATATTTAACAAAATAAAACATAAAAAATATGAACACTGAGGATACTTTTTGGGGAAAATACTTCCTGGGGATATTTTTTCCAGCGATACATTTCCTGAGATATTTTCTTCTAGAGTATTTTACTCAATATCCATTGAGTTGGAGTAAGTCTTGTTTGTTACTCAAATTTTAAGAACTACATATCTAAATATGTATATCCACAAAAATATATCAAAATGCAATGCACAAAAGAGTGTATTTTTCCAAGCTAAAGCTTAAATTTTGAGGAGGAAAGGTGTTTCATTCTGTTTACCAAGCAATTAACAACTTGGGAGTGCTGTGTCACTGGAAGGTTTCATTTTTGTGTGAGCAACTGGGGTTTGTCAAAAAGAAAAGAAGAAACATCTTATTCAGAAATATAGAGCATGCAGTGATGCATACTGTGTAAAAGATACCTTTCTGCATGTTTTATTTCAGCATGAAATATAATTTCACGCTGATTCATCTTGATTTGCAAGTTTTTGAAATAAAACTTGCAAATCAAGATGAAATTAATATCAAGAAACTTATTTAATACATAATGCTAATATAAAAAAATATATATTTAAAAAAGACCACCTCAAATAAACAAACAAACAAAAAAATATTGCTAAAATAAAACCAGATTGTTGAATATTGGTAGTTGATCCCCTTCAAATCTCATTGAAGGAAATAGCTGCATGAGCTTAACAAAAAAAAAAAAAAAAAAAAAAAAAAAAGAGTCATTTACTATATACTTATCCTTTGCCTTTCAGCTGTCACAAAATACTTAATTACAATTGTATGCAATTATCCACGAAACCATTGATAAACATTTTTTTCAAATGCATTTTGAAGGAAAATATTTCCTAATTAATTTTTTAATAGCATATGCCTTTATGTGTAGATATATATATATATATGAGTGTGGGAAATAATCTCTTAAAAAAGAGCGTAATGCACAAAATGTCGCCAGGAAATATTTAACATTAATGCAATAATTCACAGTTACAATGATATTGCTGCATGATATTTCTTCAACAGCTAAGGTAAATGCCAACTACTTTTCTGCTATTTCAATAGAGGCAGAAAATATCAGATTTAACAGAAACAAAAAGCACATGTTACAATTTACCTTCAGAATCATGCAGTAAACTTCGAAGACAAGATTCAGGAGTCTGGAACCAAATTGACCAAAAGGTATTGTATTGACCACTATCACAAGCCAACTAATAAACATAAAAAATATAGCTAAAATAATTAATTCAATACCACTTACAAATACAAAAACAGGAATAATAAAAAAAAATTCTCAATTAAAAATATATTTAGTAAAATAATTTAATTGATAAAACTAAATTAAAATTTAGTTTTATGTACATTAAATTATTACCTATTAAATTTATACAAAGATTCTGACAAACATCAAGTGAATATATTACAGTACACAAATAGTGCTATAAAAGTGTCTTTAAAAATCAAAATTAAGGAAGAAAAGGCTTTTTTTTAGATGAAATACTTAAAAATATATGTATTCAGATTTGGAATAAAAAATATACAGTAACAGATCTTAAAGTTCTAGTATGAAGATATGCATGTACATTAGAAAATACTACCTCTACTGGGAACTTCACTTGGGAATTTTCATATGGATAGCAATCATTGATAAAAGTTGAAAGGAATGCAATTGTGACACCAACCATGCTTACCATGACTGCTTCAAAGATGCGAGCTAACGGGTGTTTTACATACCTTAACAAGAAAAAAAAAAAAAAAAAAAAAAAAGATATACAGATAATTTAACACAAAAATTAAGAGTCATTATTATACAAATCTTTATACTTTAATAAGTAACTTCTAAATGAATGATTTCAAACCTTAATCTAAAAACAGTCAAAACATAATTCATCTGGTTGTACAGCGCACCCAACATTCCACCTAAATATGAGAATAAATAGGCATAAATAAATCTATTCAAATAATGTTCAAGAACAATAAAATGCATCACAATAAACATATTTTCAGGTAATTTTGAAGACATTCTTAGCAGCAAGTTTCATTACCTGAAACACTCAGATTATAAGCTGTAGTATAACTAAAATTATAAATAAACACAGAGTTATTGTTCTCTTGCCAAATTTACAGCAGTCAAATAAAGACTCAATGATATAGATGGTTATTTTTGGTTGAAGATAGACCATGTATCATTTGAAAATAACCAGTGGGTTGTTCGGAAAGTAATTTCATTTTTCTCTAAGAAAATGAAAGAAGATTTTCTTACGGGGAATAATTATTTTATTCAAATATATACTACCCACTCTAGCCCAATACCTTTTGCCCTCTTTCTGGCAGTAGCATGATTACAGGCTCATAATTTTTTTTCATTGCTGGCAAAAAACTGATGCAGATGATTTTTGACCTCCTCATCTGAAGTAAATGGTTTACCATCTAAAAAAAATTTGTAAAGATCGGAACAAATAATAATCAGAAGGTGCCACATCTGGAGAATATGGTGGGTGTGGCAGTATATCCCATCTAAGCTCTAAAAGCTTAAAAAAATATTAACCCTCTGTTGGAAAAACATAAAATTACTTTCCAAACAACCCAATACTAGTCCAACAATTCAAGAATTAACACTGAATGCTCAAGACATTATATAAAAACCAAGTAAACATGAATTTATATAGATAGGTGATTTTAGTGCAATTTTATGTTAAATTGTTGTATTTTTCTGTGTAATGTAACAAAAAAAAAAAAAAAAAAAAAAAAAAAAAAAAAAAAACTTACAGATCCCTGTATTACCATAACATATATTGTAATTGAATAAATGTAATTGATCACTATATTAGCTGTAAGTATAATTCGATCCTCATATTGTCTTCCAGTAATTTTGAGAAAGCAGAAATACTAGAAATATCTCAGCGGCAGGTTGAAAACTTTATAAGGCTGTACAGAGCATCTGCTCTCAGTAGTAGTTGTTGCGAGTTGTTAGTTCAGTGCGAGTTAAGAGAATTGAGATATCTCCGGATTAGCTTCCTCTTTAGATGCAGTTCGCATTGCATTTTGTTTAACATGCTTAGTGGTTTGAAGTATAACTAGTGATTGTACTCTGTGACACTGTGAACATCTGTACGGGTATTTCTGTGGAAAATTCCAGAACTATGAAATGTTTCTTTTGGTAAAAAAAATTATCAACCTATCATCCATCCAGTGCGCATTCAATCAACTGAGAACCCGTATACACGCAACAATACATAAAAGTCATGCATATTCATATATTAATATTGTTTATTTATTAAAAGGAAAGAAGAGATGAGGAACAATTTATAAGGAACTTATATTTTAGCAAGTCAGAAGTTTTATACTGAAATTGTTAAATACTTTGGGGGAAAAAAAAAAAAAAAAAAAAAAAAGAGTTTTGCAGTTGATAATAGTAAACAGCTGAAGTATCACAAAACTGATTTCTCAATATTTTATAAACTACAACCCATGGGTACACAACTTGCTGAATTAAACAGTAGTATCCGATCTGTGATTTGTTAATGATGACACGGTACTTCCTCATTTTCAATCTCCAGAAAAGCTAAAATTCCAATTTTATATGATAAATAAATGCACACATTTATCATAGTTCATGTTATCAAGCTAAAATATCTCATGCAATAGTCAACAGAAGTTTCAATATATGATAGAAATTATGTTGACAGCAAATGGAAAGAAAAATAGTGCATATTTATCTGCCCATCTCTCCCTATCTATAAACAAAGACAGTGTGGGTACTTTCTTATAGCATAATGTAATAAAATAGTGCAAACTGCACACATTTGAATACTTTACAGATACATTTTTAAGAATGAAAGAAGAATATTTCCTTTTACAAATATATATATATATTTTTTTTACATAATAATGAATGGTTAATCTGCAACAACACAGATCAAACTTAGTAGTGCTTAGCGATACTGCCTTTATTTGTGGGAACTGCACGTAAGGGATTCTAGTAAATTAAAAGAGTATTCGCTGAAAACATCACAGCAAAAACATCGTGGAGAAAACAACACAAGACAAAAATATCGTGGTACAAAACATCGTGTGAGAAAAGAAAGCAAAGAGAAAACATCGCAGTTCTAAAACATTGTGGTACAAAATATCATCGTTGAAAATAAAGTGGCTCGAAAACTTCGCGGTTTGAAAACATCGTCATAGAAAATATCATGATAAAAAAATAAAATACCTACACATGACGATAACATCACACACGTGTTTTTTTTTTTTTTTTTCAGTTTTAAAAGCTGTAAATATATTTTTTATTAATGATTTGGGAGCGCAAGAAGTAAAGAGGGAAAAGTTTCTCCTCTTCCTTCCGAAATTTTTGAGTGAAAATCAATTGATTACTGATCTTTTACCTCTAAATAATACAAAATGACTGCAGAATCATACATGTTTTAGGTATTAGTACTTCAAATAGGATGCCTTTTAAAATTCGTTTTCAATGAGACAAAATAACTTCCTTTTATTAATATAAACAACTTTAAATTTCAAAAGTTATTCATCGCACATCATGATTTCTATCATAAACAATAAAAACTAGCAATAATTAAACTGAATATATAAAAAAACCCTCTATATGTATGACATTTGCTTTGTGGTTTCAGGGTGCAACCATTGTGTCACAATGCTCTAAAGGCTCGGTGGTCGCGCCTTGAAACCACTGCTCTTCACAATGGCGTTTGCTTGCTTCTCAAATAGGAATGTTTATTTTTACCCGGATATAGATAAGGGGTTTTGAAATCACAGATTTATTTTATTACTAAACAATATATGCACTTGCCCGGTAAAAAGGTCTTTCTTTTCCAGAGACTTTTCTCTGACCTCAACACACTTGCTTCCCAAGCAAGTATTGCGATTTTAAAAATTATTTCCTGTGGTTTAAATTTAATTTAAATATACTTTGCTGTAATTAAAAATAGAAATCGCATAAAGTTTTATTTAAATTAAAAATATTTTATGAATACTTTGGGACGAAATACAAATAAAATAAGTATGAATGGGAAACGAATGATTCGTATCAAAGCCAAAAAGACCAAGCCCCTCCTCATTAACATAAAAAAAAACCACAAATTTCATGTGCCAGATGAAAAGAAACAAAATAACGCTGGACATATACCAGCGAAGTTTAGATCCAATCAGTGTACATTTTGTAGCACAAGGAAGAAACCTTACAGAAGAAGATACACGTGGCGAAATGTACAATGTGGGCATGCATGCACCAAAAAGACAAAACATGCTTTGAACAGTGTCACAAAAAATATTTGTTCTTTGAAATTAAAAAAAAAAAAAAAAAAAAAACACTGAGTCTTTTTTCTATCTTTATTTTACTGAGTTTTTTAATCCATGTAGCCAAACGATGTTATTATGTAGGCACTTTCACTGCTATAGAAAAATTACATAAATGTTTATTTTTTATTTTTTCTGACGATTTACTTTGTAAAATAATGTAAAAAAATATATATTATATATTATGCAATTCCTACATGCATTTTGTTTTGAATTCGTAAATTTCGTCATTTATTGGAAACGTGCACGGAGAAAGGTAAGTTTTTTTTCCCTACTGACCTCGGTAAGTTTCAAAGTCCTAGACACGTGGTGGTTTCACAGTGCGATCACCACCCACAGAACAAGTGCAATGGGCAAGAGTAGATTTTTTTAAATTCATATATTATTTGTCTCTAGGATCATAATATTCAATTTCTAGAGTTTTTAGTTAAAAAAATTATAAAAATAATATCGCGTGCGTCAAAGGGTTAAAAGTTACAAATTTAATATTTTTGCAAACATTATATTCCATAACTATCAACATAAAGAGTATCACAAAAATTAGACTATTTCTAACTGTGTACGATAACAGAAATTTCCTTAAAGAAGGGATTTGTCAGGCTTCTTTACTAATAACGAAATCATATTTTCAATCTCCTTATATGAAGAAACTTGAAAGAGTGTTTATAGTTAATACGTAAAGAAAGATACTGCACCAATACTGTTACGTTTCCATATAGGTTCCTGGATTTTAAGTGGTTGATGACAACACTTGATGAAGAATCAAAATACAATTTATTCAGTCAGTATTACTCAGGACAGTTAAATCACGTTTACAGTCATAAAAAAAAAACTACGACAAACATGCTTAAAAAATCAGCAACACAGTCTTCAGGCTATAACTAGAGTACAACTCCCAACTCGGTTCGGTCGTGCTCACAACTCCGCATACTCTCCACGCTACAACTTGCGATGCACTTGATAGCCTTAGCGATGCACACTCTCGATGCACTTCACAATCCACTGACGAGACACTAGAGTGAGAATCAACTCAATAGACTTAAATACTGTTGACGGCACACTGACGATAGACTAACTACTCTGCATATCAGCAGGGTTTATATAGCTTTTGGCTTGCATTCGAGACCATTCTGGGCCAAACCAGTAAGAATTTGTTCTATAATGTTCTCCGTCTGTCCACGGCATATTGGCAATTTTTTTGCCAAATGGGCAATTTGTGCCAAATATGGCAAACCTGCCTTCCCTTGCCATTTTCTGGCAACCCTAAACCCGCCTTGCAGGGAATTTATCTTGCTGTAGCTGCACATTTCATAACAATATGAAAGATACCTTCACATATACAACAGTGCTGTTGTGTTCAAGGGTAACATGTTCCAAGAATTATCATGAGTAATATCAAAAATTAAATACAGGGTTCATAGCCAAATTTTGGTTAAAAAAATAAGTACCTATAAGCACTTTTCAAGCACATTTTAAGGAAAAAAATAAGTACCTGTCTAATTACATTATACACAACTGCATAACCTTAAAAGAGAAATTAGACTTGTAATTTAAAATATGAGAAATTCAGTATTAAGAGAGAATGAGCATTACTCAACCATAGAAAACAATTACATTCTTTTTTTTTTTATAATTTTAAATAACAGTTCAATTTATAGAACTAGTTTACAATGAAAGGGGGGAACTAAGCAGAACTAAATTATATTACAAGATTTAATGATAGAATTTCAGTTCAAAATAGAGAAAAAAAAAATAATAAGCCATATTTATTACATTCACTTGGCTTCTAAAAATAAATACAATTGATTTTTCACCTCATATTAATATTTAAATAATTTAACTTAAATTCTGAACATTTTCTTAAATTTTCATTGTATAATAATTTTTCCTTAACAGATATTGCAAGCAAAGTAATTTAAGTAAAAATAAGTAAAAAAAAAGGACCTTTTCTGAAATTAGAAGATGGGAAATTGCTTCATGCAGTCATTCTTTAACAGTAACAGCTTAACTAACTGGCACACTCGGAAATTGCCGAATACCTGAAAATTCCGGATAAAAGAGGAAGAGGGGTAGATTGTAGCCGTTCTTTAGATTTTTAAGCTAAATAATGCTTCTGACATTTCGATGTGTGCATCATATAAAAAACAGTCTAATGGAACTGAAAAATAATCTGCTTAACAAGCACAGTAAAACTCTTTTATCTCTCCGAAATATCGCAAACGTTATTATGCAATACTTGCACCTTAAGTCTTTCGCATGTATTATTACACAATTGGAATCAACGGCTGCCGGTATTCGGAGAATAAATAATTAAATAAAGGAAAATGCCCCTTTGCTTCATCTGGTTTTCACCGCCATGCGCCCATGTGAAATATTTATCACTGAGCAGAACATGTCGCGCTCTGCACGATATCCCTGCCGTACTCATATTGATTAATAAAGAGATTTACCAATCTAGGGTGTTTTTCATTCTAATTTTAAACAGACTGTGTTATATTTCTTGAATAGACTCATTCTTCGTTTGGGTTGGTAGACCGCAGAACTTTTAGTCCTATTCAATCCAGGTTGAAAAGTGACCAAAAAAAAAAAAAAAAAAGCCCGTTGCTTGCCTTGCTGAGAACTGTAACGGTTTCAATATTCGAGATTTTGTGGAGAAAGGAGAGAACCCCCAACTTCCGTGCGTTAAAATGCATTGGGGAAAAAAAAAAAAAAAAAAAAAGACTATTCAATTTCTTTTACTTTATTTATGCCATTTGGAATATTATTCCTTAGAAAACTAATCTGGGTTAAAACACACTTACCCATTTTTTAACTTTATCTATACTTCAGCAGTTACTGCAAATATATTATTATAAATATTCATACATATGCTCATAATATAAGCATACCCATCATAATAAATGCGAATATGAAATGACCACGTGGAACGAGAATGTAAATTATTAAAATCTTGATAGAAATTCAAACATGTGTAGTATTGGGAGGGAGCAAAAGAATATGGAATGTATCAGAATTTTCTACCGCTTTCGAATTCTTTGACCAATAGAGTGACGTGCACCTGTCTGTACTCGTGTGCACCAAAGTTTATGTTAATTCAGAGAAAGGGGCGAAAAGCTATTTCTGGGAGTATGATTCACCATTTGCCGTTTCATATGACACCCAAAAGGGCCTTTTTTAACATTTTGTGTTTTACCTTTATTTATTAAATATTACACTGGGTTAGCGAAAAACGCGGGGACCCCTTCTGCGAATCTCTTTGAGCTTGAGTCAACATTCCATATAAGGAAGAAAAGTTGTTTATTTATTTTCGGCTTTGGTACAGGGAAAAAATGTGCGTGTGTTAAAAAAAAAAAAGCACTAAAAGCAAAAAATAAGCACTGAAAACAAAAAAATAAATGCTTTAGAGGAAAAGTAAGCACCTATAAGGGCTTTTATATTTTATTTTCAAATATAAGGACTTATAAGCGCTTGTAAGGATCGCTATGAACCCTGAAATAAAACAGGTTTGCTTGTAACATATTGTTATGTTTTTCTTTAATTCTCCTGATACCAGTTGTTACGTTATTTTCTTCCTTCACGTTCGTACGGGGTTCGTGTGGATTTGGAGTGAATAACTACGACACTTGATGAAGTATCGAAACACACTTTATTGGTCAGTATTGTCAAGACAGCTCCAAAACACGTTTTTACAGTAGTTGATGAACTACTATAAACACACTAAGACGATCAGCTACACAGCCTCCAGGTTATCAGGCTATCACGATGGAGCTGTTATAAGAAAAACATGTTGCTACCATTACATTAACAAAAATCATAAATTTATGATGTTTAACCCCTTCGCGCTGACTGTCATGTATACGTGCCAGCAATGAACACACTTATCTACCGGCCGACATGCAGGCATGCCAGAGCATTGTTGTGTTTACTACCGACTGTCACGTATTTGTGCCAGTACCTTGGAACGTTTTTCAAACTATAATTTCTGCCACAAGATGGCACTGTATGTCCATATGGTTTCAGATACATGTACATTAGACCTTCTACTCGAAATGAGAGAAGCATGACTCACATACACGTGTTTTTGATTATATAAACAAACGGGGAACTAAATGTTTCCGAATTGCGTGATTTATGACGTCTCTTTAAATCTCACTTTATTCGCACGTGGTAGTTGTTTATTGTAAGTAGAAGTTTTATATGCGCTAAAGCGTTGAGTATTTCGGTTTACAGTTCAGTTTTTAGAAAATAATTAGATCTTGTTAGACATGAATTCTTTCTGTTTTTTCTGTTTTTACCGTTTCAATGTCGAAGCGTCGAAAATGTTTAACAGAGCATGAAATAGCAGAAATGATGCAAAATATTTCAGATATTGATTCTGAAATTCTGATATTGATTCTGAAAGATTAACTGAAGACATTTTCCAAAACTTTGTTCAGAAGAGACTGATAAGAGAATGAGATGACGATGCTTCGTTTGTTCACATTCCTGGAAAATCCTCCAAAACGGCAAATGAGTTATTACGAGTTCAAGGAATGTAACGTAGGACTGTGTAGATCCCTGTTTTAAAATTTTTCATACGAAAAGAGAATTTTAAGTAATATATTTAGTTTTCAGATGTATAATGTTAAAAGTCATAAAATGGTGAGTAATTAAAATAAAATGTGTAAAATATGCATTTAAACAAGAAATAAGGTAATTAAAGTATATATATAAAAATATCTATAAAGCATAAGCCGTTTAAATATTCTTTAGAGCATTATTAAACAATGCGTTGATACTTCGGAAATTTCATGGATTTAGGCTTAGTAGCAAAAAAGCACCCGGCCCTGGAGAGACGCTCGCGGAAGACACTGCCGGCCTCCGCGATAAGCGCGCGTTTTCGCTACCTGGCTCGAAGGGGTTAAATTACTTATATATATATATTTATGCTTTTTTTACTTATCAGCCATTATTAGTGTTAGACAATGGTGGCTCACAATATGAATCAAGTGAATTACTGAGTCACTTAAAATTTTTCTAGATTATCAGCTTTCTTATTATGAAACAATACTTCCTCTTTTTCAATCTCTGAACAAACTACAAGGTCTTCTTCAAGCTGCAATGAGCCTGCAAATGCTACAAAGACATTATTTCGTGCATGTCAGATGCTATACTTTGGTGATCTTCTGACTGTTGTCACTAGGTTGCATTTCGAAACTTACAACTTAATTCCCCTTCTCCTGAACTGTGAATTTGAATTGGCAAATATAAAGGCAGGACTGTAGTTTACCTTTTGACTAAATCATTTCAACTGCTGATTTTTCAAAAAGCGATGCACTTTCACACATGAAGAAAAATTGCTTACCTATAACACCCATGATAATATATAATGGCAGTTCTGCAACTGTATAATCCAGGTTCTGAAAGAAGAAAAAACTTTGCTATTTATAATCTGAGAATTAATTTACTTTTTTTATAAAACATTTTGAACAAGACATTTAGAATGTAAAATCTCACATTTTTGGGTTGAATATTTATTTACTATGTTTTTCTTTACGGACTTGACCTTTGTCACAAGTACGAAATTAAAGAACTTAAATCAATAATACATAAAATGATTAAGGGTTGTGCAACCTTCTTTTGATAGGATCAGTTGAAACGTTTGCATATAATTAATGGCTAAGGGCTGTTATGATAATTTTAACCCGCGGGAAGGCGTGTGGGGTGTATCATACCCCAACCCTACATAAAAGTGGAATATTCCTAACTTGTGAGACTGAAATTGTGTGCTGCTTTCAGTAGCTGAGTTTCTAGTTGTGGTTGACTTTCAGAACCGCTTTTTCTTTGCCAGTCTGTTTCAGAAAAAGATTTATTGGTATTTTGTTGGAACTGGGGTATGACACACCCCACGCACCTGCCTGTGTAAGTGTTTTTCTGACTGAATATTTAGTTCAGAAATTTAAGAAATTTATTTCTAGAGTGTAACAGTAAATATTTCTACTCGCAAGTGATTTTAAAGTACTTGACATTAAATTGTTAAAAATTTCTAACTCCATTATGTAAAAAGAATGAGTCCCTATGAACTGGAGATGCAACGCATGTGAGATTTATTAGAAATATTTGAAAGCGATGAAGATTGCATTTTGGAAACTGAAGATGAAACTAAGAATATTTTCTACAATGTTTTGGTTTCGAAAAAGATAAAACATTAATTCCTGATGTTCCTAAAAAAGGAAAAACTGTTCTTATGCTTTCAACATTATATAACAATCATACTATAGATGATACTATTGGAGAAAATAAAACTTCAGGAATTGTATGTTTTAATAATATGACAAAAGGAGCAGTGGATATGGGGGATGAAATGTCAGCCAATTATTCAATTGCCAGAATAACAAGGAGGTGGCCAGTGGTTATTTTCTTTCCTGCACTGAATGTTGCTGTAATAAATGATTGAATTATATTACATTCAACTGCTAATCTACCAACCAGAAACAAAAGTCTGTTTTTGAAGGGCTTACCATTACAATTAATGAAAAAAAGTATTGAACAAAGAATCACAGATTAATACTTTTCCAAGAAATTGACGTACTGCATGCAAAACAAACGCAGAAGCTTTGACGAAGAATTAAAACGAATACGTGAAACTCAAAACAACTAAGTATGAAAGATGTGATAAATTTTTTTGCCCTCGCGCCAAGGACAGAAGAAGGTGAATGCAACGTTTAAAATGTGAAAATATTCTGTGCCAAGAGCACATAAATGTATTTTGTTTAAAGTGCAAAGAAATAAAATAAGCATGGTGTATTAGAGATGCAATAAAACTTAGAGGCATGATGTTTATTTTTTTATTATTTTCATTTATCTTAATTTTAAATCTAAAATTATTTCGAAAATTAATTTTTTGAAACCCAATTATTATTCACTTATTTATAATACACAAGAACACACACACACACACACAAAAAAAAAAAGTTTTAAAACTAAATAATACTATTTTTATTGTATTTTAAATATTGGGGTATGTGATACCACACGCGCCCACTCTAGTAACTTTTCTTGGTGCGACTTCCGCTGGGTTAAACAAATAAATTAATATGAAATACATCAAAATTCAACTTATGTAAGTATTCAGTTGAAAAAAATTCTAACAGTGAATTTTCAATAATATGCAATACAAAATCTTGCCAAAGGATGCTGAGTAGAATGAATAAACATCCAATGCTTGGATGTTTATTCATTCTATGGCTTAAGAAAATAAAGCAATTATAAAAGTAAATGTGAGGTCTTTGGTGCTTTTTCTTAGCACTTTATTTAATTTCATGTTAAATAAATACTAAATTTTAAGCACAAATCTGGTTAATTTTCAAGAATTAAATACTTTTCTGAGATAAGCTTTAAATTTATGCATTTAAAGACCTTTTTTTAATTGAAGCTGTCATTTTAATTTGTCGTGCAATTAAGTTAATACCTGATGAAATTACTTTGGCAAAATTCTCACACTTCTGATTAGCAATATCAATTGTAGCAGAAAAGTAATCACAAGTACAGATTCTACGATTATCCTCTTTATGATGTTTTTCAACAATTAATATTTCAAAGATATACTTTGAATTCTAAATCAAAATTTTCAATCAAACCTGATTTATACCATTAACATAGTCTCCCCTTAAATTTTTACACAAGCTATTGAAATTTTTTTTAAATATTCATGCAGTTGTCTCCTTCTTCAACGTATTTAGAAAACTCCCTTAAAGGGAGGGAACATAGTTTCATTAATTTTTTTTTTCCAAAAAATTGAAATAAAAGTGTGATATTTAGTGATTTATCGCTTACGCCTGGCTAACAGAAAATCTATCCTTTTTTGAGAGATTAGACACATATATAATCTGACCCTCATAATTTACCTTCAAGTAAATATGGTAGTTAATAATAACAAACATTTTTAATGCTACATGTTACGGTTGTCATAACTAAAGAATAACTCATTAATTCTCCTGCCTATACAGTATTATCTGACAAAATAAAACCTAATTATAGAAATAAAATTCTACAGCAAGGTTGTGATAATTTATATGCATTTTTAAAAACATTATTTAAATAGTAGACCTAGTATTAGAAAAAATAGAAATTACTTTTTAAGGGTCAAATCTGACTTACTTAGCTTAGATTTCAGTGAAATTACTCAACAGAACTTAAAAACTTTACAATTCCTGCTTAGTTTAGATACCATACGCATACACACTAGTGATATTTCTCCTTTTAAAAATATTCCACTTCAATTTTTTGAATATGTATAATGCAAGGATAGTAATAATTTTTTTCATGTGTTAAAATGGAGTTAGATTAAATAACAAGATTTTATTATTTTATTTTAAAATTAAGTAATCTATGTTTTATGTTACTTCACATCATTTTAGAATCAATTTGTTAAAACAAATAAATGCAACTAGTGGGCAAGCCTGTCAGATGAGCAGGCTTCTCAAGCAAACAACCAATTGGTAAATAAATTTTTTGTTGCCAAATTAGTGTTTTGAGAGCTTTTAATATCTTGCAACAACCCGCAGCAATCAATAACTTATATCTCGTGTAACCCACAACAACCAATTTGTAAATAAATTTTCTGTAGCCAATATAGCGTTTTTATAATTTTCAATTAATATCTTGGCAGATTAAAATCGTACGAAGATGAGAATGGTCGAAATGGCTTCTCACAAATTTTTGCCATCCGAGGGGTACTTCTCTCTCTGCCATTCTGGAGAAGATAACTTTACAAACAAACAGAGAGACAGATGCACACAGATTTTAGTAGTATAAATTATATTAAATAATTATTTTTTTTCTCTTAAAAATTTCAGTTTTTTAAAATACAGAAATAAGGAAAAATTTTAAAGAAAAATATTCAGCTATTAATAAAATAATAGAAAACTGACATTTATTACATAATTAAAATTTAAAAATATTACTTAGTTTCTTTTTATTTTAAAATTCTTTTTATGCTTTTCTTTTTATTTTATTTTCTAAACCTTCAAATATAATGCAACAAACTACAAGTAACCAAACCTTCTGTTAGAGAAACTCACAGGAGTAATTAAACATTCTATTCACCTACATACAATTCCATAATTTATAATTTTAATATTATTAACTAATTTTATAATTATAATTAAACATTATCAATTAAAAAAATTAATGAATTAAAAAAATTCAATGATTCTTAATGCAGATAGAAAAAGAAAAAAGAGAATACAACTAAAACTTACATTAAATTTTCCAAAATTGATCAACCCTGGATAAGATAATTGTCCAAAATGACCACTGTACTCACTTAAGGCAGCATTTAGTGTGAAATAAGATACCATTGAGCAGAAGAACTGAAAACAGAAAGTTACCAAATAGAAATTGATAAATTTGTACACCCTTACATTACTTCAATTTAAAATACTTAAAACCTTACATAATCAAAAACTTGCATGGACATTTTGACAATAAAACTATAAATAAATATTTATTAATACAGTCAAATTAAAATACACTTATTGCCATAAAAATTTTGGCACCTTGAATTGTCAGATCATAACAAAACTCGGCATGGTGGGACATGCCAGGCCATGCCAGACAAATACACATATGATTCAAAAAAAGCAGCTTGATTGTGCATTGAGTAATGCCATCAGCAGGCATTAAACTTCATTCTCCCTGACATGTTGAATTCTCCATTTCTGAAGTTAACAGAAAAGTCTTCAGGAAGGATCAATTATTCTTACTTGGTATTTCTGCTGACATAAAATTCAGTACAATTTTGGAAGATTTGGCAGCTCATATTCCTGATCTGCTTTCACAATGAACACAACAGCAAATTGAGCTTTCAGAAAAACAAACAAAACTTAGATAATATTCGGCAGTTGATACAAAATTCCAAAATTCTGATATAGAAGATAAATGATATACCAAAAAAAATTATCCTTGCAATGAGACATATCAGAGAAATTGGGCTGCATCGATTATTGAAAACCCATTTCTTTCCTCCACTACTTGAAACTATGTCAAAACTCAACTTTGAAGCAACAGACAATGTCAACAAGATATGGTGGGATAGTTGTACTATCTCTTCTCCTCCACTATTACGAAACATTATGGGTGAGAACATTTAAAATCTATTAAAGACTACCACATATCAGCAGCTGGATTTCCAAAGCTTCTTTTGTCACAAACAGGCTGTAAACCTGTGATCAAAGCTTCTAAAATGTTGTGCAGCACTGATGCCACAGATGGCTTGATCAGGACGACTCTCCTATCAAAATGTATTATGCCAAAATTTTCCCCCCAAAATATCTTTAAGGTGCATTATTTAAAATAAATAAATACAAATAAAAATAAATAATTATATTCACAGTTTACTTACTAAAAATGATCAGAAATTATGAAATATTGCTATTTTTACAAAAAACTGTGCATGTTCAGCTATTAGCAGAATTAATAAATAATCAGAAAATACAGGTTTTATACTTTTTTTTCAAATTTCTTATGCCCAAACTTCCCATCAGAAACAATTCCATTTCAACAGGGGAGAGTTTAGTAATTATAAAAAATTGACTTAAGACTGCAAATGTTTGCAATTTTCAAAACTAGACATGTAAATGGAAAATATGTTTTGTATGAAAATTTTGTATTTTATTTTGCATAGTTAGGCAATAGGCAACTTTTTCAGGGTATAGCAATAAAAAACTGTTTTTTTTTTTTTTTTTTTTTTTTTTTTTTTTTTTTAAGTGTTTTCCGGCGCACCCTACTTAGTGCCTTTGATGTTTTAGTGAGAATAAGCCTGGCTGCGATAACAGTAACCATGGTTAAAGAAAATATGAATTGTGAGCATCTTGTTTTAAACACGACACTGATAGTTTATAGTTGAACTAGAAGCACACATATAGCAGCCATGGAAAGTGATGAGGCCAGGACACCAATATAGTATCTATATGCCTCAATTCCCGCTCATATTGCATGCTGTATTCATGCTAGAGGTGGTTCTACAATGGTATTAAAACATCCATTCATTTAAATTTTTTCTGTAATAAATTATCTTTTCCCTTTCATTTTGTAATCACTTACCTGAAATGTTGAACACATAAAATTTTGTTCAATTTTGGCACTTCTCAAATTTTTATGGCAATGACTGTACATTGCCTAATTAAGAATGTTTAAACTTTTCACAAATTATTTACTTTTTACCATTTACTTTCAAACTACTTACTGCCCTATTTTTAGGATAAATAAAATTTATTTTACATACATTCTTATGTATTCTCAATATACACACAAAATTTCTAAAAAACTAAGGTTAAACTTTGGCTAATTTAACAAAACTTCACACATAAAATAAAATTGTTTACTTAATTGTGAATGTGATAAATATATATACAAATAAATTGCTTACTATTCGCCAGGTCAAGGACTGATTCCAAAAGCTAGCACCTTCCTCTAAACTGAACAGTACACCACCTACAAAATTTTTTCTTTTTAATCTTCTTAATCAATGAAAGAGAATGTATTTCTCAGATTTTTTTTAAACTTTTTTTCATATAAAATAATAAAAAACTTTCTAGTCAAATTTTATATTACAGCATCAATTTAATGCCTCAATGAGAAAAATAATGCATGATTTATTATTCTACTATGCCATTTCTTTAGAATTTGGCATTGATATATCTTCTAGAAACATAAACCCACTTATTAAACTAATCACTTAAATGTTAAGATTTAACAATACAAATTACTTACCAACAGGAGCTCCAAAGGCAGCAGCAACACCAGCTGCAGCACCAGCAGAAACAAAATCTCTCTTTTCATGATCCTCTCGAAATTCCACAAATATCTTTTGTGTAATATTAGTAGAAAGGGGAGGAAAAAAGAACAATTTAAATTTTTCCCGAAATATCCATCATCCTAATTATCTTTTCTATTTTTATTACAGTAAAATAAATAAATAAATAAATAAATAGACCAGAAATTAAATGAAATTTTTATCATTTTCAAAAAACTATATACTACAGCATTCTACCTTCAATAAATAAAATTGACTTTGCATTCAAATTTTAAACTACAATTCAAATATGGTCCCATAAATTAGCACATAACCCTCTGGCTGATCACCCCGCGATTTCCACAGGCAACTCAAATGTAGCAAAATTTGCTCATTCCGTGATTTCCGTGGGCAAATGTTTTTCTTCCTTTATTGAGGAGCGGATCCCGTTTTTTCGCCAATTAACCATTGAAATAAATTATATACAGTATTAGGCATTTATTTTATGTTTTGGCCAACAGATATCATTAGTTGTCCACTAAACTGCAGCATTTGAAAGCATGTGGTATTAGCGCTCAAACTTCACTTTTTGCCGTTTTTTCTTACAGAAATGGCTGCTAGAAAACGTTCAGTGATTATCTTGATTATTTAATTAAATTATCGAATTATTAATTAGATTAATAATTAGATTGATTATTAATTAGATTTATTTTATTGATTAAATTATCGAATTATTAATTAGATTAATAATTAGATTGATTATTAATTAGATTTATTGATTTATTGATTTTGGTGCAAAGACTGTGAAGTTGGACTTTGTCTTGAACCCTGTTTTTACTCTATCATACTAAACTGAATTTCTAAGGTATTTTTCTCTTAGCGCTTTATATTTTCTTAAATTCTATACATTTCACTTTTTTATATTATGCAATAAATAAAAATTAACTGTAATTCAACTGAAATTTATTTTAAAAAACGATTTTTTTTTGGTTATAACATCTGAAATTGGTTTTTCTGGTAACTTAGTTTCTCATGATAAAAATCTATATAAAAAATATTTTCTAGAAAGAAAAAGTGCATTTTTCAATTCTCCAATATATATAGATTTAAAATATGCCAAAAAAAAAAAAAAAAAAAAAAAAAAAGAGTACACAATTTTGGAAGCGATTTCAGTCCACAAATTGAGCAGTCAGAGGGTTAATTTAAAGAAATGTAAAACTACAACAGATTCATGATTTTATAGCCATTAAGAACCAAGTAATAAGATTGCTGTGTGTGTGTATGTGATTATAGCAAAGCCTCAAGGGCTACCTGCCTAAGAGGAGGAATGCCTCTGTGGAGGACTTTCTAAGGGGAAACTGGCTCATATATACGTTACACATGGGGAAAACCACGAAAACACCCTTGCAGCCAGCCCGTTCGCGGGATTCGAACCTCGGACCGAACTAACTACCAGTGTTCAGCGAATTTACCGCTCGGCCGCTGGTGCGCCAGAAAGATTGTTGAATACTGGCCGTTCAACCCATGTTCAAATTGCAGTGAACATGTTGACTACATGGAGTTTTCATGGATTTCTTTATGCGTAACATGAATCTAAGCCAGTTTCTCAGAGTAGCATTATTTCTCCTACGGAGATAGTCATCAGGCGTTTTGCCAAAACTCAAAATAATTCAATCCAAATCTATACTTTCATAACATGAAATATATGAGCTATACTCAGTGGTCTCAAAAAAAGAAGGCATTAGTGTTAATTCAATGTTCGAATGAATTTATAAAACCAAGAATTAGATTAATGTCATACTGACAAACATTTTCTAAATCTTAAGGCATAAATAACTTGTACTCTTATTTCTGTTTAATTAATCCCATAGAAAATATCACATATTCAATTTGCAGCGTTATACAATGGAATTATTTTGACTATTTATTCACAGACTTAATTTTTCTGTTACAGTTTACTCAGAATTATAATTAATAATTATTTTTAGATATTTTAATAGCTATTAACTAAGGATTTTCACATTAGTATTGAATAACATATATAAAAATAGGAATACAATGAAAATTCCCTAAGATGATCCTCAATAGTTCCAGATGATTTCTGTTTCTTGTGGAGATAAACACCCTAGAAAAATGATTTTCAATTCCAATATTTATCTATGTTCTAAAAAATACTGCACACTTTCAGCAAGTGGCTGCCATGAGAGTTTTTATTACTTATCACATTATTTATAATTAAAATATTTAACTTAATAACTAAAAAAAAAAAAAAAATAACAATACAGACTATATGCTAGACTTAGGATTACCTTGAATATAACAGCATAACTGTTAAAAATATAGAGGGAAAAAAGTATTATTGAAGGAACGAATAGGATTTGACTAAAAAAAGGAATGCCTCCAGAAAATTTTTTTTTATGGGAAACTGGCTTATATTTATATTACTTATCGAGAAACAATGAAATCCATTGCTGGAATTGAATCTATAACTAACAACAAATACCTTTCAGCTTTAGCTAATCAGGTACTGATAAGCCACTGCTTGAAGGAAAAAATAAAATTTATTTTCGTGTCCATTAAGAAAGACCACATTAAATACACTGCCCAACATTGAAAATGCAGCACCAAGAAGGAGTGGCCAGAAAGTTATTAAACTCGATAAACAGAGAGAGACAGCAATGAACAATAAGTGATTTTTATTTTGAAATGATATGCAAATACAGATAGAGAAGAGTGTTAGCTCAGTAGGTTGTAGGACCACCTTAGACACCGATACACAAAGCAACATGTTTAGGCACACAGTCAATGACACTACGGATGCGTTCTGAGGAATGGCTCTCCATTCCCTGTCAACCGTTTGCCAAAATTCATCTTCTGAATGCGGCAATGGCTGGGTCAGCAAATGGCATCCAATGACATCCTAAATGTGTCAGATTGGTGAGAGATCAAGAGAGAAAGGTGGCTAAGGAAGCATCTATTCTCCTTGCAGAACACGTTGGCTGATGCGAGTAGTGTGCGGTGCGGCATTATCCTGCTGATAAAGGGCATTGGGCACTTTCTGAAGATAGAGGAGTGTGATCGGCTGCAACACATCATCCACATATTGTTGGGCCATCATAGTGCCCTAAATTACAAAGTTGCCTGAATACAAGGTGAAGTAGAGATGACCTGGAATTGTACACAATTGTGCCCCAAACCTTAATGCTGCAATTGCTGCTCGATTGGACCTATCTCCACATCGACGCAACACTCATATGCAGCATCTATCATTCGAGAAAAAGAAATGTGACTCATCTGAGAACACGACCCTGAGCTATTCTGTTGTCCATATCGCTCGATCCCGGAACCATTGCAGATGGCATTTATGATGAAAGTCTTCTTAATGGATGCCACGAGTGCAGGCCACTAGCCACCAATTGACAACAAATGGTTCTGGTGAATATGAGAAAATCCAGGTTGTCTTGAACATGATGCAAAATGGAGGTAGAAGTGGCTTGCAGACCACTTGTCGGCGGAAGTGTTGGATCCATACATGCTGGCATCACTCTGGCTGCAACTAGTACCCCTTGAATTTGCCACATTTCCTTGTTCCAACCATCATCATCACAGCCGGTGCACTGTGGACATGTCCAGGAGTATGTAAGCTGAGATCTGCCATGTAGACCAACCTGCCCTTCCCAGTCTGATCACCATTCCCCTTGCAAAATTGCTTGTCTGCTGGGACTGCCTCCGTTGAAGATAGCCTAGCATTCTCTGCTCCTACACGTGTCCTCTGAGACAAGAACAAATTTCCTATTATGATTTCCCAAGCAGAAATAACAGCACGAAAATTGAACATTCAGCAGGTTCTTTCCCTTATATCTTCTTCAACGTGCGCTGGAGAGCTGTGCATTTCATATCATTCGCATATAGCTCGGTGACATGCGTCTATCCTGAAATTTGCATAATTTTCAGGTCACTCCTTCTTTGGTGTTGCATTTGCAATAGTATTATACTTGTATTTATAGAACACTAATAATCCTCGTTTCTCCCACAGACATATTTCTAAAATAGAACAAGATGATCAATGTATTTAAGCTAACCTTGCAGTTCTTACGCAGAGATGTACTTTTCCCTTGTGAAATTCCAGCAGCTATAACTGCACCACAATGAATCATTGGTCCTTCCTGAAAACAAAAATAACTTATTAGGGGCAGATATATGATTAATATTATGCACAGCACTAATATCGATTTAAATTTTCTAGCAATACGTTAACCGGTTAAAAACTTACAAAATTATTATTTTTGTTCATTCAGAAATTTTATTACACATTTTATAAACTGCAAAGAAAATTATTAATAATCATAATATTACATGCAAAACGATTATGTTATAATAGTCTGAATGAAGTTTTACAAAACACCAAAGAAAAGGAGATTCTTAGCATATTTTGGTATTTTCTGATTATCCCTACCTCTCTGCTTCAGAAAAGTTGCTAAGAAATACTGATGAGGCAACACATGATGTAGCCAAAAAGTATTTTATGTGGCAACCTAAGTATGAATGTAACACATGCATGTTTGAATAAGCATAGATTAACAATAAAGCAATTTCAATAAAAGTAAGACTATGAGCATATGAAGCAACACACTCAACCAATTCCATAGTATGCTAAGTGTACAAAGTCAAGCTGTGCAGGTTGAAGAATGGATGCAACATTAAATGTCCAGTTGATATTTTACTGTATAAAGATGATAAATAGTCTTGTTCTTGGGATACTTCAGAGTAGCTAGAAGTGTTATCAAGACACCATAACATATACAATACAGGTCATTCTTGAAAATATCTTCTCTGTAGCATTTCTAGAGGAACATTATTCAACTAATGGCAAATTCCAAGGCTTCAACCGTGTGAAAGTATACCAGTCAGTTAGCCACTTGGCAGCCATCGTTTATAACAGTCCACCAACTCTTTCCCATTTAAAAGAGAATCTATAGTTTCAATTTAACTTAAAAGCTTTTATAACAATAACATGTTCACCAGTGCATGTATCTCTTCATCAAGGAATATTGCAAATGTACTCCCCGAGTTGAGCAAGGCCCTCAACTATTCAGTGAATTACACTGCTTTAGCAGATAACTTCAATGCCATGAGCACACCGTGGAGCCCTTCACAGAATAACTTTTATGCAGCAATTGTTCTTGAATTTATAACAGCTAGCAAATCTTGCAATAGTTAATTCTAATCATAACTCTCCCACCTACTGGACCACCTGCACCTAAGACTGGTCAAACATTATCTTATCTATGCACTGTGTATCAGAGGATAGAAAAACAAAAAAATTCTTTTTTAAGTGATCACATTGATCCTATTGAATTTTACATAGAGTTGGATCACAATTATGCTGTTAAAAACATAGTTAAAAGCAACTATATTCAAAGAGACACTGGATCTATATGCTTAACATCTTGTCTCAATTTGTGATAAATGTGCAAGCATTCAAGAGCTAGACAATACCCATATTATACTATCTGTTGGCATTTTGACATCAAGTGGAGGGCTGCCATGATCCTGAGGCTCTTACGATTAATTTCAAGAGAATTCAAGCTGCCTATGAGAGATCCACCAACAGGCCAAAACTGCTTGCATGGCAAAAACATTCTACGGAAACCAGTGAAAAATATGGGACATTGTTCAAAGTAGCACACAACAAGGACCATCCATTCTGAGCAGAAATACTCTCTCAGGTGGCAACCACATTTCAAGCTGTAGCATACATTTTCAGCATTATATTGAAGCAAGATAGCCTAGTAGATACTAATAACAAACAGAATAAATTGCACACCCTAAACATTTCAGCTGACATTCACGGCTCCTTTGATAACCTGCGGTGGCATAATGTACTGAACATATTGAAGGACATAGAATGTCCAAGAACGTTCTATGATTTAATTTATAGCTAAGAAACATGTATGTTTAGGACACAACAGATGAAGACATTATACATCAGATATTAACAGAGACAATCCATAAGGGTCATGCCTTTAACCTTTTCTTTGAAACCTAGCAGCTGACTTTGCTTTTGAGCTTTCTATGACAACACGACATTGAAATTCTTGTCTATGCAAATGACTTGATCTAAGTCAAAGGTCAAATCAGAAAGAGATTATAAAACACATGTCCACTATGCCCTGAATAAATACGTAAATTGGGCAGAACACAAACTTGTAATTTTAGTGGCTAAATGCAAAAACTTGTGATAAACAATGAAAAGAGATATAACCATATTACAGGAATAAAAATACGATGGAAAGATGAAAAATAATGCAACACTTAATTTAGGCATCATTATAGATGACAGATTCATAAGATATCAGCACGGTTTTCAGAACAACCAAAGACTGCACAAACTATCAAATTCTCTGTTCAGAACAACAGTTATGGAGGGTATCCTCACAAATTCTAAAGATTTGGTACTCAATAGTTGCACAAACAGTGGTATTGCATGGAACTTAACTGTGAGGTCGACATGCGAGTATGAATGATGCACCAACTTAGACTGATACAATGACTATTTCTACTGAGCATCTGGTGGAGATACCACATGTTCCTCACTAGGGCCCTAAATGTCTTAGCTGGGCTGCCCCCATTTCATCTCACGGTGCAAATAGAATGTGCAGTAGTTCAGACACAGAGATTAAAATGCAACACAACACTATGGAACTGTCCTTACTATCACAGAGATTATAAATCAAATGCCACATTAACAACAATCAAATGCCAGCAGAACAACAATAGAGTTGAGCTCATACCAATGGCAGTATTTAAAAACCATGCCTATGCCTTCTACACAGATAGCTTCAAAGAACAGCAACATACAGGCAGCGAAATCTGCGAAGTGCTAGGAAAAGATGTAATCCAGATCTGGTCACAAAGGCTAAGTTTTAACAACTCAGTCTTTCAAGCAGAGCTAGTTGCTCTCAGAGAAGCAATACACTTTTGCATTTAAACAGAATAGGCCTTAAAAATATGTAAAAATTCAGCCCGCAGCCCATCAAAGGCCAAAAATGCAAAATTCGAATAGTAAAAGAGATTAAGAGATTATGAATCTTCCTGCCTGAGGAAATGAGGCCGAAACTGCAATGTGTTCATGCACACACTGGAGTTTATTGGTAATAAAAGAACTAGTGAAATATCAAAAAGGGCAGCTTCAGCATCAAACATTAGAATCCTTAATTTAGAAGTCAAAAAAAAAAAAAAATCAGCGTTATATATTTTCAAATTTTCACAGGACTAGTTTCCATGGTTTTACTGAACAATCATCCTCAGCTGTAAAAGCGCAAATGAATGAAATATGATATACAGTCAAAAGTCGTTAATCCGGACTCGTCGGGACTTTGGCGATTCCGGATTATCGATTTTTCCGGATTATAGATCATCAGTTTAAATCTTGTAAGATGGCATGCAGAAATTCTAAAATTAAAAAATATGAAACCGTAATTTATGAAATAAAGAACAATTATGATCTAAAGGGTATCAAAATTTGCAAAAAGAAAAAGCTTAATATTTATTTGTTTACTTTATTAAACATTTCTTTCAATGTAAGTTGTTTAAGTTTTGCTTCGTTTCATGTGATAATACTTTCTCTTTAATTCTATTAAACAGACATAATTTCTTGTTCAGTTACAAAGTTCCGCTGTTCAAGTCCTGTAATTGCTGTGTCGAGAACACTGACTAATTTGTCAATTGAAATTTTTTCGTTTTCAATAACCTCTGTCACTTTCTTCGCTATCGGAAGCGAATTATAATGACGAGGAACTTGTTTTAAATCATATCAAAGACGGAGCATATCGAGATGAAATATTACATTTGGTAAGGAATTATAAGCCAAATAAAATAAAAACATCTGCGCTGAAGATAAGGATAGTGCTGACAGATCAAGCAGCATGAAATTGATAAACAGATTTCGGATTTCAAAACATACTTTCGCTTTAGATCCTTTACATATTAACAAATATATATCGGAAATTCTATTTGATATAATCGAAAGTTTAAGCTTACTTTTATAAAATTGCTCTTACAGTCTGCAAAAAATAATAAGCCGGATCCAATTCGAAAATTTAAGAACAACGCAATCATCAACATTAACTGAAATAGATAATTAGATAATTTTAGCTTATACGTCCATTATACATAAAACGCGCATGCGAAAACGTATTCTGCACTTGCGCACACTCATATGCGTAGTCGTAAAAAGGTCTTACGCGCACGCATAAACGCCTATGCGCATGTGTCAACACGGCACATGCGCAGAAAGTTTTTAGTTTTGAGGTCCGGATTATAGATCATTCCGAATTATGGGTGTCCGAATTAACGACTTTTGACTGTATTGGTTAGATAAGATAAGAAAGCCTGGACAAGAGATAAGCTGCGAGTGCCATCTGTTGATGAAACCAAAACTAAAACATAATTTCTTTAAAGGCTGAAGGCAAAGATGGATTGGAATTAGGGTTGTTAACGAGAACAGAAAGCTTTTTTGAATGCGAAATGCCTCTAGAAAACCAGTTCACCAATGGAAGATGTTTTTTGAATAATTTTGGCACCAGAAAAATTGAAAGCCTGATTTTCGGACCAGCAATGTTGGGCAATATAAGACTTAGGTGTTTCCTTTTTTCTAACATACGCCTCATGTTCCTTAACGCAAAAATTTAAGGCTCTCTTAGTTTGGCCAATGTAAATTAAACCACACTGGAAAGGAATCCTGTAAATACTCCAAGAATTCATATCCGGAATGGGGTCCTTGAATATGGAACTCGGAATTTTATTGATGGGAGAATAAACAACCCGAAAGTTAAATTTCTGCAAAATACGTGCAACTGTATAGCTAACTGATGGAAAGAAGGGAATGACAACAGAATTTTTATAACCTCCTAATGTTAGTTTATCAGAAGAACAAGAGAGAATTCTAAAATATAATTTTAACTTCTCACAAACCTTTAAACCCTCAATTCCAAAGATTTTGGCTCCTATCGAAAAAGCTTTCAAAGTTCAAGTAAAAGTTTTCAGATTCACAGAAAGAAATGATTAGGCATCTTATCGCTCATAATGTGAAATTCAATAATAAACCTTTGAAACCAAATCTAACCAACCGTGAGAGAAAGAGCTACAATGCGCGACATTCATT